GGGGTGGGGGGTAGGTCGGGAGATGGTGGGGGAATGGGAAGACACAGGAAGGAGAGGGAACTAGGATTGGTATGTAAAACAAGATTGTTTTAAAAATAGAAAAGAAGGTAAGATGAATGATTGAATGGAGGATACTTGTTATGTAGAAGGACTGAGAGTGAGATCCCAAAGCTATGACATGCTGGAAAATATCTTAAAGACTCTGCATTTTAACATGAAAAGACTGGGAAACCAATGAAGAATTGTGACTAGTGGTGTCTTATATGATTTATCTTTTTTAAAGAGTTTGAGTCTCTGCTGAGAATAAACACAAGGACCAGATCAAGGGTAAAAGCTGAGCAACCCACCAAAAATTTATGGTTTGGGTCAGTGAGATGACTCAGTGTGTAAAGGCGCTTACTTTCAAGCCTGATGACCTGATTTGATGTTCAGGACCCACGAGATGGAAGGAGAGAACCAACTCTTAACATGTTGTTGTCTGAATTCAAAATGAATACAATGTGTTCATAATTGAAGTAAAATGATGTCTGTAGAGCAGACAACACAGTCGGACTGTATACTGTTTTTGAAAATCGGGTTGATACAGTAGATTAAGTGTGGGGGGAAGAAGAGCAAAGTCCAGTGTTTGGGTCTAACAGCTGGAGAGAGATTTTCCCTCCCAGCCAAGATAGAGATACCCATTGGGGAATCGATATCACTTAAGAGATATTTCTGTTTAGTAGTCTGTAAGATATTCTTTGCCAGAGAGGCAATTGCATGTATGGCTGGGATTAAGAAGGAGTACCAGCCTGGAGATAGGAAATTTGCATGTATTTATGTACTTAGTGGTAAATGATGTGGTTGAGAACAACTTGAAATATTTTGAGGGTGAGAAGGAAAGCAAGCCAGTGAAAATGCCTCCGACATTGCTTTTTTTTTTTTTTCTGGCCAGCAAATCAGTAGACTGTGTGTTTGAAAGATTTCATTTTCTCATCCTTATTTTAACTTACACTTTTATGACAAGTGTGGGTTAGTCCAGTGACACCTGGGAAGCTGGGATAAGTAAGCTTACCCTTTTCTCCTGTGCTGTTTAACTGAAATTGTTTCCACTAATAATAAGAAATCCAGGAGACTGAAAACAAACATGTCAACAGCTATAGTCTGTTAGCAGCAGCTTAGAGCACAGGAAGTAGTTGCCTGATGTTGGTTATGGAACACCAAACAACGTAAAGTCTAAATTTGGGTAATGTTTTATAAAGTAGTCATGGTGGTTTTAAAATGTAGAAGCTTGGTAGAGGATAGTGACTGCATGCAAGCAGCAAAATGGAAAGTCAAAGAAGGTATGTGTGTGGTGGGGGCAAGGGAAAAACAGAGAGGAGGAGGGGAGAAGGAAGAGAGGAGGGGAGAAAAAGGGAAGGGGAGAGGGAGAGAGAGATTATGTAAATTATGTTTCTTGAAGGCATTCAGAAGTTTGAATTCACACACTCTAGTATCTGGAAGCACGTTCAGCTGCTGTTTGGAGAGCTGAAAGCCTTTCCTTAGTCTCATCTGCAGACTTGGGGCAATGTGAGTTTCTCTCCTGTGTGTATGTGCATGGAAAGGTAGAGTGGCTGAGTAGGCAGTTGGCAGCCATTCCTTGAATTGATTGCAATCATTGTAAAACCCAGCAGAGGGTGGGGTCAGGAGGAGCATCCCCCCCAGGTGGCTACTGAATGCCTTATTTGCATAAGTCTTCTGTGATGCTTGAGAGGTAAGAGAATGCTTATAAGCCAGCACACACAAGACTGTAAGACTCCAGATCTGATTTTTCATCCTATAATTGAAGACATCATAAAGAGTTAGAGGTCAGACTGTAAAGATTCTAAGAAATGGACATTATGGCAGGATTTGTGGTCTCTGAATATGTAGTTGAAGTGAATTATGGAGAGAACTTTAACACACCAAAATACCACCGTTTCTTTTAAAGAATGAAGGGGCCTTATCATTTTAATGTGTCTAATGTCTTGAACTAAACAAATTCTATACTTTAAAACTGTCAAAAATAAAAATATTTGTAACTCACAAAAATGAGATAAATTTTGATTATAATTCTAGAGGATGGTTAGTCTATATAGGCTAACAAAAACCTCTGAAAATATTATGTATTTAGTATGTCTTGTTCTGAGAATAGACTTTTTTCTTTTGTTATGGATATCCTACTAGAGATGACCACTCAAACACTGTTTATAACCTATTGAATGTCTTCATTCTAGCCAGCTGGAAATATACCCAAGTGTTTGGGGACCTACATGTAGCTCTGAGTGTCCAGACCTCAGGGTTTTTGAAGGCAAAATACACATCCTGGCATCTCACTGGAAGCTGCATGGGGGGCTTTGCAGAACCAAGCAGTTTAACATAAGCTAAGATAAGCAGTTAGCTGGAGGGAGTTTCCCATAGACAGTTTAACAGAAGCTAAGTTAGCTGGGGCATCTTGACCTTGGGTTCCTACAATAGACTTTGATCATTTTCCATTGGATTCTCCATCAAGGTGGTCAAATTCAGTTAAACCTAATAAGGACTCAGCAAGAACACTAGATGGAGGATCCTCTGCACTGTCTTTTCCTGTCTTACTTTCTTATGTCTAGAAGATTATTTTTTATCTAAAAAGAATTCAGATTTAAAAATATAGGGATATATATCATCATGACTAAGAGTCCTTTTAAAATGGCTAAATAAACAGAAATCTGAAACAAATTGTTTCTTTACTCAAAAGAAATTTAGAAACTAGCTATATCAGTTGAAGGGATATATGTCTTGTGGATAAAGACATATCAGTATGGGATATGTACTGTTGTCTTGATATTTTTTAGAATTATATCTAAATTAATCTTGTTAAATCACACAGTTCTCTAATCCCTGCTACTCAGGAAGCTGAGATGGTAATAATAGGTCTGAGGGCAGCCTGGGTTACAGAAAGACTTCAAGACTAGCTTGGGCAACTGAGTTTAAAGCAGGGCTGGAGAATCAGCAGTGGTAAAGTGCTTACCTAAATTCAATCTCCAATACCAAAAATAAACACAGAAATAGTTTTAAATGTTCATCTATATTTAAATCAATTCTAAGTGTATTTGAAGAGTGGTATGTTTATTTATTGATTTAACTAAGCTTCAAAATTCAAAAAATCAAATCTTGTTTTTTTTTTTCTTTCACAAAGGTTGGATGTTAAGTGTAGATGGAAGAAATCTGCCCCAAGTAATACAGTTTTGAAACCAAACTACAGGGTGTTGATATTCGATGACAACTTTCTTCTGAAGACATGGCTTTGTAGTTTTTTTTTTTTTTTAAAGTTTGGCCTAGAAAACTACCTGTGGTGTATATTATTCTGCAATTCTTATAAAATAGTCTCTTCAAAGAATAGGAAAATCTTTATGTGGTAGATTTATTTGGAAGCTTTGTATAGATACTTGGTCCTTAGGGGAGAAAAAGCATAATCTTGACTCAAATTCTTCAAACTTCTCCAAGTTGGTGGTATTTTCAGAAGCCAGCCCATGTAGATCAAACAGGCTGCATATGCTATTTTGGGATGAGTGAAAATTGTCAAAGATTATTCCAGTGCTATGAAATTTAAGTTACTGGGCATTACACCTTGTGAAAGTGAGACTGAAGTTCCAAGGCTGAGAAATCCTCATCCATGGCTTCTAACAGCTGCCTTCCTCTAAGTTGTCTTAATGCTGGTATATGTACAGCTTCTTCAAGAAGCTGTGACAATAGCATAAGTTTTGTGGTTCCCATGAACATATTTCACTGTTCTCTCTTGACCATCTAGTGGGCATTCAGTGACACCAGATTTAGCCTTTATCTCAGGAGGAAGGTGTTGAGGCTTTCAAATGGCTCCTTTTTCTTCCCTCACTGTGTTTACATATTGATTTCAGAGTGTACTTGCTGGTGGAATGAGCAGTGTGTGTCTGTGTAAGCACATTTCTGTGTCCATGTCTACCTGTATGATTTCTTTCAGAAGTGGAGAATTTTGCCATGCAGCTTTTCCTCTGACAAAAGTTTATTACCATGGCCCCACCAGACACCTCCTGGAGTAGCATAATTGGCCTTAACTTTGAGTAATGTAGCCAAATCACCAAGAAAGTTCTTAAGGATCAGGCTCAAGCTTGCGGGTCCTAGAAACTCAGGACATTCACATCTAACAAAAGTGAAGATGTCAAACCTCAATATCATAACCAGGGTTCTCTATTTAAAGCTGTCTTTGGTTTAAACCTTTGAGAAGTATCTAAGTCGTTCAAGTACAGTCTCAGCTGGAGGCATTTTCTGATTTTGGTCAGTGGATCACTTCAGTGCTGTAAGCCCTGTTAACATGAGAGTAAGAATATCATAAACTCCTGCTGTCCCTTAGCTATCTTGTCTACCTTCTATATTTATTTTATGATGAAGAAATCAAGGTACAGTGGCTTTTGGAGATTTATTGCATATGGACCCATACACACTTTCCATGTGAACTGGTCCTTCATTTCTTGCCCCTCCTCAGCTTGAAGGGAATTTAAGGATTAAGGGTGATATCTGGAGGCTCCTCAGATCTCTTTCTGTATAAGCAGGAAGACATATGTGGTGGTTAATGATGTGAAGTGAAAGTCCATATCTTCTAGTAAGACAGCCAAAGCCACAGAAAATTCTGCCTGATTTTTAACCTATCACCACAGCAGCTGTTCCTATTTTTAAGCTCTCAGATGTCTTCACATGGTGAGGCCAAGGCTTTCAATAGCTTTTCTGCTATGGGAAAAACTGCTGACAATCATTTTATTGATGCTAAAAGGAAAAGAAAATATTGAGGCCAGCATAGAATTTATGTGGGTACAGTTGAGCCTGTGGAAACCTAAGTAAAAGAATCTCACCTTACAGGGCCTTTTCGGGGCCCAAGGTTAATACTGCTGGGGCTCACCAAGACTTGCCCTTAGATTGTGTTTTCAGTACGGTGTTTAATTTCCAGATATGCTCTACCCTTTTATAATTAATAGTGCGTTGTGCTGTCTATCATGCGCCCCAGGTGTGTTGTCAGGGACATGGCGAAGCCTGCTGTCTGCAAAACACCAAGAAATGCTGAAAGCCAGCCCCATCAACCACCACTGTAAGTATGGCATTGGTTTTATTGACTGAAAATGTCACCTCTTACCCAGATCTCTGGTTACAGATTTATTAATGACGTTGCATGTGGAAGTAGATACTCTAGTTTCTCTGGTGTATATATTAGAAAGGTTACCAATATTCAGTTACATGAAATTATCTGTAAACAGATGCTCTGGAATAAGTATCCTTGTTAAATGATGTTTCTAATATGTTACAGGAAGCAGACTAATTAGAAGAGAGGGAAATGTATCAGCAACTCTGAGTTTTGTTTTTAGTTATTATTATTATTGATTTTGGAATGCATATGGCCTGGATCATTAGACTCCAGGAAGTGAGGGATCAAGGTTTATATGGGATGCCAAGTAGGGGCTGGAGTGTGTTAGAAAGGAAATGAGCAGTAGTCTACCACCCAACCCTCACATTATGCTGTTTAAAGGCAATGGGCATCTTAAGAGACTGGATTGTCTATCTAGTCTCATCTTTATTATTGCATTCCTAAGTGTAGGTAGAAATGTGATTAAATGTAACCAACAAAGGATAACATCAAGGGTGGGAGAAGAAATTGAATATGTACATTTTTAGTTTCCCATATGGAGTTTGAGGAGATTAAAAAATATTAGAATTCTGCAGAGTAACGTGATGCTTTCAATCCTCAGAATGTAAGTATTTTCCTAGTGAGAAAGATGGAAATTTCTTTAAAACGCATAATCAGCAGCAACTTCCTTAGCAGAAACATCATAGCTACTACTGGGAGATGTCTCCTTCCAAAGTTTATAGCAAAAACCTTTTGAAGAAATGTGTCTTCAGATTAATTTGTTTTTTACATCTCTTCAGCTATCCTAGAAATAGTTTAAATGCAAAGTCAAAATTAAGTGATGAAGTAGTAAAAAGTCTCTGAAGAGAAAATTAAATTCTTCTAATATTTCTATGCCAAGTTTTTATTAGTATTGAGGAAAATTGAACAAAAAACAGTGTTTTCTCAGAGCAATATGAATCTTTTCTGAGTATTGCATATGCCATCATACTCTGCAAGCTGTTCACCTCTTACCTAACCAAAAATGCAAATCCACAGTGGGAGTTTGTGTATTTATCTACTTGATATCTCTACTCTTGGCTTTCTCCTTCGGCTTGGCCACTGAAATGCTTATGTTTGGTATGTTATATACTAGAACAAATAGTTGTAAATATTTTAAGCTTTAGGATGTAACATTTTATAGCAAAAGTTAGGACACTTAGTGGATGTGTTTAGGATTTTATCTCAATGAAAGACTTGAATATCAATTTCTGCATAATCAGTATTTTTCAAGAAATAAAATAGTTTTGATTTAACAATAGTAAAAATGATTTGTTATTGCTTTGCTAAAGTAAAAAAAACTCATACACAAGTGATTATCTCACATAAGTCCTTTATACTTAAATATTTGTGTGTAAAATATAGTATTTTATTTCATGTGCTTATATGGGAATCTCATTGTTTTTAAGTCTTGTCTCAAAATCCTAGGCTTAAGCTCTCCTCCTGCCTCAGTTTCCCCTGTAGAGGGACAGGCATGTGTCACCATGTATGGACTTTTAAAAAATCCTCTTACAGTAAAAATTTTTTCCTATGATGAAATTAGTCTTAATAATTCCCAGAAAGCTTCTGACCTTCTATATCTTATGTTTTAAAACTTAATGTTGATTTAAAATGTTTACCTCCACACACTGAAATAGCTTTATTTTATTTTATGTGTGTAAGCTCAGGTGTACAGGTTTCTATTTGTACATATGTGTATAGGTGTGTGCAGATATTTAAATTCATAAATGTGAAGATCACAGTTTGATGTCAGGTGTCTTTTCACTAATGCTCTCTACCTTATTCCCCCCCCTCTCTGGTGTGTGTGTGTGTGTGTGTGTGTGTGTGTGTGTGTGTGTGTCTGCCTGCCTGCATGCCTGCTCATGTGAGTGTGCCTGTGTCCCTGTGCATGTGTGTGTGTGCCTGCATTTGGGAGAGAGAGAGTGTGTGCATGTCACCCTCTTGTCTCTTTGCCCTTTAATGCTGGGCTTACATGGTGGCCTTGCCACGTATTTTTATGTAGTTGCTAGGGATCTGAACTCAGGTCTTCATGCTCTTGCAGCAGGTACTGTTACACACTGTGCTATTTCCCTGCTTATTTCCACCTTCCTTGTTTTTTGAATCAAGGGGGCAAGGAGCTCTGAGGATCCTCCTGCTTTGCCTCCTGTCACTGGGGTGACAGAAGAGTTCAGTTGAGTCTAAAGAACTGAGTAGGTTGAGTAGGTGCTAGGGATCAGAGCTCGCCCCCTCATGCTCAGGAAGCAAGCACTTGGCCCACTGAAATGGCTACAGATGGCCTCATTTTATTTATTTTAGCTCTAGGGATTGAACCCAGCTGTGCACATGTAAGGGAATGACTGTATCACAGAGATTCCTCCCAGACCTGCACAGTTCCATTTTAACTGACTTCATTCACTCCAGAGTTCATGTTCTTTTGGATATTAGCTAAAAAGTAGCAAAGGTTGTCATGTCCAATTAAGATTTAGACTCCTTTTAAAATATTTTCTTTATTATTTATTTTTTTCAACTTTTTTATTTGAATTAGAAACAGGATTGTTTTACATGACAATCCCAGTTCCCTTCTCCCTCTCATCCGCCCCTACCACTCCCCACAACTAAGACCATATCTATCACATATCCTTTCTGTTCCCCCTGAATGGTGAAGCCTTCCATATGGTATCATCAGAGTCTATTGTATCCTTTGGGATAGGGCCTAGGCCAACCCCTGTGTGTCTTGGCTCAGGGAGTATTCCTCTATATGGAATGGGCTCCCAAAGTCCACACCTATGCCAGGGATAAGTACTGCACTTCTACAGGAGGTCCCATAGATTTCTGCTGTTGCCTCATTAAAACCCATGTTCCTGGGGTCTGGATCAGTCCCATGCTGGTATTCCAGCTATCAGTCTGGGGAGCAAGAGTTCCCTGATGTTCAGGTCAGCTGTTTCTGTGGGTTTCACCAGCCTGGTCTGGACCCCTTTGCTATTCCCTTCTACCTCTCTGCATCTGGGTTCCAGTTCAGTTCAGTGATTAGTTGTGGGTGTCTGCTTCTACTTCTACCAGCTGCTGGATGAAGGCTATAGGATGGCGTATAAGTTTTTTTTTTTTTTTTTTGATTATTGAGAGGGGGATTAAGTAGCCCTAGCTGTCTTGAAATTCACTGTGTAGACCAGGTTGGTCTCAAACTCACAGTGATCTCTTTATCCCCATCTCCCCAGTGCTGAGATTAAAAGCATGATATACCATACTAGGCTAGAGAATGATTCCATCATTATTTTTCTTTCTTATTCCTTTTGCAGTAATTCAATTTGTTTATAAAACTATAGTTATGGAAATAAGTCGTAACTTAAGTTGAATGTAATAAAATGTTCCCAGTGGTGTCTCTCGCTTTATTGGACATGCACCAACAATTGTAGACTCTTCGTATCTTTCTTCATACTCATGTATTTACCCACATTGTAGTTCTCTGATTGAGAAAGTAGACTTTTCTTTAGGTGAATGGAAGAATTTAAAGGCCAGGTTTCTTATTTTTAGCCTTTGTCAAGGGTCATATTTGTGGAAAGGACAAAACAAATTAGAAGGGAATTTTTGAGGACAGACTTTAACTATAGAGTAGTTGAAATAGTTAAGTCATTTTATTAGTGGATCAGAAAAAAAAAATGACCAAAATCAGTTGCCAGAATTTATTTTAAGATTTTGAATCAATAGAATAGAAAATGTTAAGAGTACATCTTAGATTAGGATTTTAAGACACAGCTTATTATTCAAAGTAAATGAGTTGAGATATAAATTTTAATATTCATCACATTAAGTTACTAGGCTTTCACTAATGGAGTTTAATTAGGTTAGCATAATCAAATGTATGTATATATGAAATTGATATTCTTTGGCAGAAGTGGGCAAAACGGAGTATGAATGTGATGTAAACTGAACCAATGACAAATCAACTAACAGTGTTTTGTAATAGTTCATGGAGAGATGCAGAGGCCTTAGAAGAGACATTTAGAACCTGAGTCATTTGAGAGCTAGGATCTAGTGCATGTGGACAATACTTTCTGGTCAATTAAATGTATTTGTAAGGAAATAATCTAGTGGAACTACCATATTCATGCTTGAATAATAGACACAATGATCAAGAAATTGAGTTAAAGTTATAAACCAAATCTAGGCTAGATGGGCAGTGCAGAGGTGAGTTTAGACTTTGGGTTAGTGATTTTGTGATATGTATAAATTATGCAGTTTTCATAAATTTAACATACAATCGAGGCTTTCTGGAGTACTCAGGTAAGTACAGCAATAGATGATGTCACAAAGGTTCTTCAGGTTAAAAAACAGGAGTTGGGGGAGGAGAAGGAAGTGAAGGAGGAGGAGAGATTTGGATAAACCAGTGCCCACAGAAATAGGATAAGAAAGAAAATTTCCAGCTTAGTGGAGAAGTCACTAAACAGAATGTCCAGAAGCAAAGTAGTGCAGAGATTCATGGGGGCATTCAACTTGTTTACATGAAATACAAAATCAAGAAATAACCACATGACTTAAAAAGATACCATGATTTGGGGTCACATGGGGTGATTGATAGCATTGGTGTAGCAGTTTTACATGAGGGGGTAGAAATGGTGTATTTATTTGGGTTTGAAAAGGAAATGAGAAGTCAGAAGCAGAAGATGGTACATGAAGAGGACTTTTCCAAAACATTATCCTGAGTGCAAAATGAATTCAAGAGAGTTAGTGTTTGTGTAGTTGACCAGTGTGAGCTGAGTGCTATGCATCTGTTGCACTATGTGTTCTCTTATTCAAGACCCAGGAAGACACATATCAACATGGTTTGTATTTTGATAGCTTTGTAAACTATTCAGTGATTCTTTAATGTATTACAGAAATGTTACTCTATCATGTTTTAAGAATGCTACATGAGCTATCCTTTAGTCAAAGAAGCAAATATATCAAGATTT